ATATTCTTTGTAGGAGTTAAAAGTAAAAATAATAATAATAAAAACAAAAAAAAATATATTGATAGCAAATACACTAAAAATTCTCACTAACAAAGTACAAAGAATAAGCAACAAACAAACTAACAAAGTATGAAAAGTATGAAAAAAAAATGTGCATTTGTTGGGTTTGATGAACTTACCACAATCATGAATAAAAAAAAATAATAATCAGAGAATAATAAATTCTCTCAACTAAAAATATCAAGTTTCAAAAAAAACAAAAAACTTATTCATACTCTTGTGTTCATACTCTTATTCAATTTTTTCTTTCACCCCTGCCATAATCCTATATGTTAACTACTTAAATATAGTTTGTAACAGATATTAATTGCACTTGTTGTAAAACTATTATACAATAATATGTATATTGAACTACATAATATGGATATATACATACATATATGTAATATTTACTAACAAAAGTAGTAACAGAAATATAATATTGTCAGCAATATTATTTTTTCAACAGTAACAATTTTTGCACAAAATGTAAAATTCACCACAGTAATTCTCATGCGAGACAGCATTTGCATGTTTAAAAAAATTCTAATAATTTAAAAATTTAATTCAAATTTTAATTTGTGTCGTGTAAATTTATCATTTCTCAGTGAAAGAGGGGGAAAAAAATCAATGGGAAATGAATAATAATATTGAATTTTATTTGTTAAATGTGTAAAACTAAGCGTCGTGTAACAGTAAGCAGTACTCTCTTTTATTAGTGTGGCATAACAATAAGAACTCTCTTATCTGGCTCCTGAATTTATTTTTTAAGCTGAAATTAATTTTAAAAATTATGAATGTCATAATAGTAACTAACAATACTAAAAATTATAAAAGCTTTGAATGCTACTTTGTAAACTGTATAACAATTTATTTATTAATTATTATGAATATTTTTGATAAAAATTAATTTAGTAGATAATTTCGACGTAAGATAACCCTATCAAATTTTTTTTCGGTTTTGCAAATTTGACATATTTGGTTTGATTTGACATATTGAAAAAAGTGACTTGAATAAGTTTCAAATTGATTGCAAATAAAAACTCTCACATTACATTTTGCGTGAGATGAGAGTATAGATCTCTCAATTTTGCGTGTTTATATATATATATATATAGTTATTAATGAATGAGTATATCAGCATAAGTGTACATAATAATTATGATAAAAATAAATTAAATTTTTTTAATTTTAATAAGAAAAATTTTATATACATCATACGTTCCGTTCTTGTATCATTATTATTTATAACAATATCATAGTAAGCTTATGAAATAATTAAGACAAGACACGAACTATGCATGAAAGAATTAAAGCGCTCATATGAACATACATATGTATGAGTTCTTATAATTGTACATATAAGCTCCTTTTGTCACAATAATACTAAATTTTTCTTGTTCCCTCATCTCTCTTTCTATCAATCCATTCTCTCATTCATGAGTGGTTTCGTGCTCATCATACGTATTTCAACAGTAAATGATCTAAATTCTGGAAGATAGTAGCGTAATAATAATACTTACTTGCATAGCATAAGAATATCATAAATTTTTATTTAATGCATTTATATATATAAAATCTTAATATTGTATAACAAAATATCCCACATTATTTAGAAATCATAATTTAATTAAAAAAAAAAAACAAAGCAATGAAAAATTTCCCAACTTTGTTTTTTGTTATATTTAAAAAATTGTGAACTTTAATTCTTCCAATTCAAAATGAATAAAAATTCATGAATTCTGTGTGAGATTGAATTTAATAAAATTAATTAAAAAAAAAACAGAGAATAGTAGAATTCATTGTTTTCCATTTTTTATTTTATACAATATAATGGTTATAGTTACCCAATTATTTATAAAATGAGAACAGTATTTTACCATTTAGTTTTAAGATTAATTTTCTATTTTGAAAAAAAAGGCGACTGTGAAGGCGAAAAATCAAACACATGCACAAATACAAATATTTTGTTTTAATAAGTGCGGTGAGTGAAGTATAATTAATTATAATGTAAGCGAGTGTTGGCGTGATTCATAATAACATACTTCTGTACTGTTATAGCAGTATAATTAAATGTCATATGAGAACTATTGTTAATAATCTTAGTGATTTTGATGGATTAGATCCATTTTGTCCCAATAGAATGAAAAAAAAAGCTAGTTATACTGGTTTTTTTTTTTCCTTTTTATTGTTTTTATATTTCTTTTTTTGAAAATTTGAGCTTTATGTATTCAAAATGAATGAGTACTTTTTGCAAATTTTATTATGGAATAAATTTTTGAGTATTTTTTCAAGTAGAATATGCAAAAATGATTTCTAAATATTTTCAAAACAAAAATTTTTGATAATGGTTACCACCATATTGTTTTTGATAATGACTTTTGTAATAATAAATTTTAAATTTTTTAATATTATAAGTCGTTAAGAACACTCAATATAACACTCATTGAGTTAGCAGTTTCTCTTAAGAGATATAACAGTTAAATACTCGTATTGTTAAATTACGATACTTGAATGTAAAATTGTTGTAATTAAGGGTTTCATATTGTGAATTACGTGCTAGTAGCAATGATATACAGAGAACAAAATAAAAAATGGAAACTGTTATAATCACGCACTAACGTTTCAGATGAAAGTCACGAATGTGTCACAACAGTGTAAATTTAAATTATACGATAGGAATATTAAGATTATTTAAACTTGGGTAAATTCCTTATCAAATACAGGATGGTTTAGAGGCTGTTTAAAATTAAAACGACTTAGACAAAATTGTATACCACAATTCTACTTGATACTGATGTAAAGTCTATTATATTGTCATAATAATTTTATATTTTGATTAACATGGTAATTAATATTATAGAATATGAGTGTAGTTCAATGAGTTCAAGGAAAATTATTCTTGTAAGACTTGTTAACAACGTGCTTTTCATAATTACATTCTCTTATATTAAATATTCAGTAAATTATAATTAAGATGAGTTAAAAATTATTTTAACACATTTATTACGTATTTTATAACTTTTTTCTAAACAAAAATTAATTCGTAGTTTGTTTATTTTCATACAAGTAATTACTAAAAGTAAGCATATTGTTAGGCTTGCCATATATCCGATAAAAAGCAGGAAAACAATTACTAATATTGTAAAGAGTTTAAGAAATTTAAAGTAAGGTATAGAAAATTTTTAAATAGTAAAAGAGTTCGCAATTGTTTACAAGTTAAAGCAGAGTTAGAGAGAAAAATTTGGTATTTGTGTGAATGAGTTACCGTTTCTTTACCTTGTTGAAAATTGGAACACAATATTTTTTTATATAAAATTTTAATAAAATATTAATTAACAATATTTTGCAATATTTTTACCGTATTTTTAACAAAATATGCAAAGAGCTAAAAATTTGTTTTGTATAATAGTTCCCCGTTGGCAACTCGGTTCGTGTACATATTTTACTATATATAAACAATGTTTGTTTTTTTTTTTGTTTTTCTTAATTATTATGTTAGATAAACAATTTAATCTCTTCACTCATAAATATAACTACAGAGTACAAATTAAAATTAATAATAAATTTTATTATTGAAAATTTTTAATTAGATTTGAATTTGACATTGAAAATTTATTTAAAGAAATTTGACATCATTATTAAATAAATTCATTTTTATTATTTAAATTAAATATTTAATATTTAAAGAAATATAAATAAAAACGTGTAAGTAATTTACATTTTACTAGCATAACAATAAATATTTTAATAATTTACAATATGCAAGTACCTATAATTGAATGCCATTAAAATAATTGTGTGTATTTTATCTGTTAAGCTTGGAGAGATTCTTAAAGAGAACTTTTGAGGTAATGAGAGGAGAAAGTCTTGGAGAAATTTAAGAATAATAATTCGTATATCATACAATTCGATTTATAACATTGAAATGTTGAGAAATTTAGAGTTATGATTTTATGTATAAAGATTTTGTATGACCAACAATTTTTCAAATAAATAATTTTGCAATTGGCGTATAGTCATATTATACTAGGTGGGTAGTATGTAAGAATTGAAAGTGAAAAATAAAAATTGTAATACTTGGCTATGCAAAATGCGTAGACTTATAGTTATATTTTGCGGATATCCGCTTAAAAATATATTACGCATAATAAATATAAATCAAAATAATATTTAAAATGAAATGAAAATTGTAAAATAATTGAATAAATTTCTATATTTGACACAATATAATAAAAAAGTACCTGTAAACATATAGCGTCGACTTATAAATAAATAAAATGTTTTCTTATATATATTTTACCCTTTTCCTTTTTATTTTACACTTGTGTGGAAATTCTTTTTAAAATATTTCCTTAAATATTAGAACAATTTATTTTTACACTGCGATATAAATACAATTTTTCGTCAAGTAGCATGTGGGCATGCACTCTACTCTAGAGTAATTAAATAATTAGTCAATAAATAATTTTAGTAAGTAACATACTATAAAGAGAAAGCAGATTAAAATTAAGTAAATAAACTGTTGTCATGATTTCTCCCTTTGAGTATGGTTAAATTTTATTCACCACACTCCTACCAAATTGTTTTAAAAATTGTTTTCTAAAAAATTTCCCTTTTCACTCCCCCATTTTTGTTTTATTATAAAACTACAAGTGCGTGCGTGAGCGGTTACAGTTTATTTTTTAATTCTGTTCGTGTTACTTTTCTTAACCGCAAAATACCTAAATTTACTTTTATTAATAAAAATTTTAAAAGAATGCATAATAGAAGAGGAAAGCATCAAATGTAATAAAAAGTGAAATTTCTTGTAAAACTCAAAAATTTATTGAAACTTAATTAACACTTTTTTTATTTGAATTTGAAAAAAAAAAACTTATTTTTATTTTCAACAAACACCGTAATCACCACATTACATACTTATAAACTAAACTTTTTTTTATTTGTTTGTTTACTTTCAGATTGAAATTCTCAAGAACCCGAACATTAAACAGAAAAAATTTTTTTTTTGGTGAAGAGAAGTAGGTAAGTAGGTGAAATTGAAATGAAATTTTGATTCTTTTTCATTTTTTTTTTCTTATTATGGATGAAAGATAAATTTTTCGAAATAATAAAAACAAAAATTAACAAGTAAAATAAAATATTAAAGTATCAAAAACGTAACGCAACGTCGCAACACTTTTCCCCTTCTTTCTCCATATCTCTCTCTCTCTATCTCTTTCGTTATCTACTCAACCTTAATAATGTTATTGTTTACTTAATTTCTTTAGATCTGCTCCAAAACTGTTCCAAAACATAAATAAAATAATACAATATATGTGTATGTGTATACGGGATTTTTTTCTGTTCTACATTTTCGTTTTATTTTGGCAAAAAAAAATAATTTCTTTTCATCACCTTGTTATACGAGTATTATTTTCTAAATTATTTTTTTTTATTCGAACAATAAACCTTTATTTAAAATGAACTGTTTAATTTAGTTTTCTGGGGAATTATTGAAACGGTGGAGGGTTTCAGATATAAAATTTTCGAAAAACATAAAAAATACCATTTTAAATTTTATTCACCACAGGTAATTTTTGTTTATTCAACATGAATGGTAAAAATTTGCTATACTATATCCAAACATAAATTTAGAGTATATTTGATATATACGCCTGTTGCAGGCCACTGTATAATAACGGTAATATAGTTTTTCTTCATGAGCAAAATGGTTGTTAGAATATTGCTTCTAATTAAGCTTATTGAAATGCGTTTCCTCTGGTAAATATTATTCACCTCACACTTATTATACAATGTCTTAATTTGCACTTTTCTCTTGTGGAAAAACATATTAACCTTAAGAAGTGGCAACCAGGCAGATAATTTGAGTGTAATGGTTATTTTCGAAATTATTTTTCGATCTCCTGTATCCAAGGTTGCAATACCTTTAATTTGAATTTCGATATGGAGGCTACAATAAGTTGCAAATGGCTGCGGTAACCAGGGGGATACTCCTGCCCCACTCGGTTTCATTAGAAATCTTGATTTTAAATTTCGATATAATGTGCATTTCAATTTTCGAAAATTTAAATTTTGAAGTTTTCAGTTTTTGTTTTTGACAATTTTTATTTCGTTTTTTGAGTTTCAGGATTGACTTTGAAATTCAGAATTTGGAAATATTTTGTTTTTTAATCTTTTTCGATTTTCGAAATTTAAATACGATTTGTAAATGTTTCAGAAATCTCAATTCTACTTTTCGTATAAGTAATTTAATGAAATTCGAAACTTGAATGACGAATTCAATAAATTGAACTTTACAAAAAAAAAAAAAAATAGCATAACGAAAAATTATTTTTGTTAAGCGTTTTTTTTACTTTCATAAGCTTTTTTTTTCGAAGATAATTTTTTTTTTTGATAAAATTATCTAAATGAATGAATGAGTAACTGTGTAAAAGAATATCACAAAAGAAAATGTAAAAATGATAAAATTGTTGTAAATAAGCGATTTATAGTATTTTTTTTAGCGTTTTTTTTTTGCGGTTTTTTGCGATTTTTTTTTTACAAAGAAAAACAACAAAAACCATTTTAAAATTAAATGTCGTAAAATCGCTTTTTATTATATCAAATTTATTTGAAAGAGAAGGCAGAGGAGAAGAAGAAACGCGATTTTTATCATTATACAGAAAAAAAAGAGACAATAGAAAATTTAAGTACGGTATTGTGCTAAACAAATATTAATTTCTGTTAACAACAACAAAAAGATAAAGAAAATGTTCATAAGATGTTAAATTTTATTTTGAGACGATAGTAACGATAACAGTATTTAATGAATAGCAATAATTATTGTACGATAAAAAAAGGCGATGATGATAAAGATAATTTTTGATACATTTTAGAAATCATGATAAAAATATTGATCGTGTGCGGTAAGAGGAGAGAGAAGAGAATAGAAACGAATAAAGTATTGAAAACAAAGAAAATTCATGTAGAGCTCATAAATATATACTTTAATTTTTGAAATCAATTTTAATATGAGAAAAATATTGGATTAATGAATAATTAATTTAATTTAAATGAATTTTGAATAAATTGATTGTTAATTTAATATACTTGACATTTGAATAAAATTTAAAAAAGAATCCAGTCTGCAATTGAAAATAATTCCACTGATTCCATTTCTCAACTCATATAGCATTTACAACTCTCAACAATAAAATCTTTCTTTCTCTTTGCTCTCTTTGAACTTAATTGGAAAATGGTGTATTAAAAATAAAAATTTCAACACATCGACCGGAATATATTGGCATTCAGCAGTAAGCGGTATGAAAAATGTCGCAAGCAATAACTGTCGTATTGTTAATTATAACAGAAACGATAATTATAAATTCTCTCAATATGCATATTAATTAGTGCTTAAAACTGTTATATTATGTTTTGTATTACATTATTGTGTTTAATACTGGCTAATGCGAAATGAGAATTAAGAACAAACTAAAAGTTTAGTCATGCTTGCATTACATACCACTTATTTATCCCTTTTTAGTTAACTTAGTGTTTTATGGAGATTTATCTTCATAATTTAATTCTCATTTTAATATTATTTGTAAAGTGATTTAAATTTGAGGTTACCATCATCATGTGACTAATCATTTCGATATTTGTATAATTTAAATGCGGACTTTCTCTATTACTCATATTTTCTAATAATATGTTGAATAAAATTTGGTGAGAGCAATTAATATTCAATAACAAAGAATTTGAGTATTTTTTTGTGTTATAATAATTTAGTTTGTTAATAAGGTTTTGGAGCACAATATGAGAAAAATAGCACACTCATCAATGTGTTGTTAAAATTTATAATATATAAAAATGAGTATAAATTTTTTTTATAGTTAAAAAAGTACACAATGGTTAATTTTTTCATTAAAAATTTGAGTATTATCCGTCTGCAATATAATAGAACATTATGTATCATGCTAGTAAATTGTTATTCAAGCATTAATTTTTACTCTTTTCCGTTCTTGGTCTTATTATTATTATTCTTCTTAGTTTCATTTATAAATTATAAATTTTAATTAAATTAAAATAAAATAAAATATAATTATATGATTTAATTATTTCTTGAAAAATTTTTGTTACAATTTTTTAATCAAGGTTGCCGCCAATTACATATATGAACATTTCCTGTTATAAATGTGTAATTATATTTTTTCTTGTTCTTAACTTTGTAATTAAAGTATTTGTAATAAACTCTTTCTATTATTATTATTCTTACATATTTTATTAAATAATATTGAATTTCAAATTTTTAAGATTTTCTTTATATATTTTAAAATATTTCATTAAGTTATGTACTTTTGCAGTACTTGGCTTAACAGTAAATATGCTATTGTTATGCTATTATGTTTTGCTGAAATGGAAATTTAATATCATAATAGTCACTTTAAAAAATTCTTTTTGAAAGAAACTAAATGTTAAAATATTAAAATATTTTTAAGAATTAAAATTACGTTCCACTTAACTGCATCAGTGATTTTAAATGAAGACAGTAGAAAAAATACAAAAAAAAAATTGAATTATAAAATCAAAAAGCTCACCTGTCTTTTTTTTTTTCTTTTATAACCCACGCAAGTTTTGTTACCTTTTCTTACTTTCAAATTAATTTTTTTTAAAATTTAGTATAAACAAATAGGAAACGAAAACTTAACAAAGCTTTTAAAATAAAAATACAATGAAATAACGATTCAATTACTTCTGTATTTACTTTAATATTCTCAACTTAACGGTACTTTTATTGAATATTATTTATAGCGCGTTTACACTTTTTTACTTTTATATATTACGTAAGTAAAATATACTTGCTTGTAAATTGTAGATTGACATAACAATAACAGTAAACATATATTAAAGTAAGATTGGTTGTAGTGATATGATTATTATCAAAACAACAAATGCTTAACAGTAACTAACAGTAACTAAACATAACAGTAAATGTTTAAATAATTTTTAAATGTTAATCTAATTCAGAACCAATTTAAATAAAAGAAAATTTTTTAGAGTTACTGTGAATAAAATGAGTAATTTGTCATTTTATTTAATTAATAATGTGAGAGATAAATAACTGTCTTTGTTTTACTGTTATATCATTAAATGAAATAATATCGTATAACATAGAAGATTGATTAATATCTTTGTAGAAATCAGCGTATTTGTTGCGATGAAAATTTTAAAACGCTTGCTGTAAATATCTTAAATTTTAACCTCTTATCTAGATGAATATTTAAATGATTGTATGAGAATTTTCATTTTTCTCTTTTGATAATTGTTATAAATAAAATATTTAAAGTGTTATAAATAAAAAATGCGTAGTGTTTTCCTATGAATGGAATCTTCTAATCTAATTTCAATATAAGCGTGGATTCAAATATTTCTGCTGCTATGAATATTAGAAAACTTATGCAAAAATTGCATACCTTTAGGGGCAGGAAGAAAATTTTTAATAATACAAATACGCATAATAGCTACTTTAAAAATTAAGAGATTTTATTTGATAAAATTCCGGAATACTAAATTAGTTTCTTTCTTTATTATTGTAATCTGTAACCTCACTTTGCGTTTGTTACTCTCCGCAGTATTTTTTCTGCAATATTCTCCAATTTCTGTGCAGTATTTGACTTCTTGAAAATTTTCTCCAAATTATTAAGTTGTTTTGTAGACACAATATCATAAATGTAATTGCATGAATTAATTTTTTAATTCAAATTTATGAATTATTTCAATTATTTAAAAATTGTTTTTCAATATTTTTGAGCTTCTATGAAATTAAATCGTAAAATCTCTTTGTATACTTCAATTAGTTTAGAAATGAATTTAATATGGAATTTAAATTCAACTAGCTAACTATTTTATTTAAATTTAAATTTATATTTTAATTCAAATTTTAAAATTCAGATTCAGATTGCGAATCACTTTGAAATGATAAAATTGGAAAAGATCATTTTTTTTTGAATTTTTGTATTTAACTTGCCGCATATAAATAAATT